TGTGCTTCCACTTCCTTCCATGGCTGTCATCCTGGCAAAGTGACCTCACAGAGTGCCGAGAGAATACAAATCATGATTAAGAAAGCATTTGGAAGTTTATGATATCTTAAAAATCAAACATCTGTTTGCAAATGGACCTAGGATCCTTCTTTACCCCTTCTAATGCGTTCTCATTTGAGCACTTTTATGTCTGATGCTATGTCCTTGTCCCTTAATTCAGACTTCTGGCCCTTAGTTTTTCATGGTTGCATTGGGATCTCATTATCCAAACTTTGGCTGTCTCTCATGATCTCTGCCTCTCGGTTCCTTAGGTTGTCTCTTCTAGGACTCTTTTGCTTCCATTCTTGCCCAGTCAAATGTAAATCTCCCTCAGGAACTGTATGACTATCCAGGTTGAACCAGCTCCAGGTACCCCCTGGAAAAACAGTTCAACTGTGTTCTGATCTTTTAACTGGGCTCTCTGCCTTTCATTTTCTTTTTCTTCCAGTTTACTATCAATGCAGCCTTTTAAAAATACAAATCAGATCCTCCATTTTCTCAGTAAATTTATGCAGTGGTTTCTCATAACCTTCAGAATAAAGTCCAGATATTTTAATATCAAAACCTAAGAATATAAGCTAATAGGAACCACAGGCCCAATGAAACAGTGATATGCATTTCTCCACACTTCTTAGGTTGCATAGTAAAAAAAAATTATAGTGAATATTTTAATCTGTTTTGGAATTTCTCAGAGAGATAGAGTTATATAAATCACTAGTTGGGTGTTTTGGAAGGAAGAAAATAGAATTGAGTAAATGCTTGCTAATGCTATGTATATATATCAGTACTGGGATTAGTAAGCCATTTGAAAGATCAGCATTTTACATATCTTATACATCTGATTTAAAATTTCAAGTTATACATATCTAGATTGCATCTAATGTTTAATCAATTGGACACTTAAATGATTTGTTGTCATACAGAGATGAGCTTTGCTTTTCATGCAGTGAGAGTAATATTTTTATTTTAACACTTATGCAATTGATTGCAAATTTTAGAGTGTCGTAATTTAAGTGGATCTAAACAGTCCATTAGCCACATCAGTGCCTACCCTCTTGCCAAGCCGTAGCTTTATGCTAAGCTGTTGTGTACTGTGTTACATAATCCCCTGCATTCATTTTCTCTACCTATTCAGCTTGAATGCATACAAGGTGACTGCATTGTCTCTTTAACCTCCTTGCCAGTGTAAACACTAAGTATAGAAACACAGATTTTGGGCAGTATTACATTTTTCTAATGGAGAGTTTGGAGAATTGAATGGGCTTAGAAATATGGGTTTGTCACTATCTGGTTTCACACCATTTTAGTTACTTTCACTGTCAGTGTAGTATGGTTTTCAAGGTATAAGAAAGTGTTCGAACCTTAGCTACTGAAAGGAAATTAAGACAGATTGGGATCTTAGAAGAAAAAGGTCAGTTGTGAGAGTATTCAAAGGAACAATTCCTTCAAGGTCCTCACTCTGTCTCCCACTAAGCCCCTTAATTTTTTCCTTTAAAGACTGGGCCACGCACTGCCAATGCCTCTCTTCCCCATAACAACCAGGACAGTGTCCCATGACTTACAAATGATATAGTCTTGCTTATCTAGAACATGATTTGGAGAGTATCTTTCAGTTGTCTATTGTTTGTTGACAAGTGCAGGGAAGTGCCCAGTATCTGGGGTGCCTTGGTGGCCTCCTCCAGCCCAGGTAAGGGGTAAACTGGAAAAATTCATCATTGGATGGAGAGATGGGGAAGGAGAACTGTTGCAGCAGTTTTCATTAGATACTTGCAAAATAATGCACTGGGATCCCTTTGGCTAATTCGTATGATATTAGCAGAAAGATGCATGTGATTTACATAGACCCTTTTTCTCACCTTGGTTTTATTTTTTGTTTATTTATTGTAATATTATTTTCTCTACAATGATGTAATTTTTCTTCTATGGTCTTCCGCATAAACGAGTCCTTTTTTTTTTTTTAAGATTTTACTTATTTATTTTTAGAGAGGGAAGGGAGGGAGAAAGAGAGAGAGAGAAACATCAATGTGCGGTTGCTGGGGGCGGTGGCCTGCAACCCAGGCATGTGCCCTGACTGGGAATTGAACCTGTGATGCTTTGGTTCGCAGCCTACGCTCAATCCACTGAGCTACGCCAGCCAGGGCAACAAGTTCTTTTGTTTTAAACACACCCAAATTCCGGGGGAGGAAGGATATCATTTCTTTTGTTGAATGAATGTGATTTACATAAGGTGGAAGGAATAGGTTTTTTACTCCATTTATGCAAGGTTTGGGATGGTTTATAGGTTAGTGTACAGATCCATGAAATTATTTGTGTTCTTTGAGAAGTAGAGTAGGAACATGTGGTAATATCCAGAGTAATGGGCAAAAGGAAAGGTAATGGATACTTATATATTTATTTATTTATTTATCTTTTAAACTGATATTTAGAGAAAAGTCCAGAGGTACTGGAAGTCCAGAATAACACAAATTGTCTTATGCAACACACTTATTCCTAGTTGCTAGTTTCTTCCATAATAAACACGGGCATTAAATTGGGCAATCTCTGAAATCCCTTATAGCTCTAAAATTTATTATATTGAAGACTCATTGGTCTAATTATATGAAACATATTAAGCACCACATAGCACATTAAATAATATCCTGGTGCCTTGCTGTTCTGTGTCAAACCTTCCCCTGTTAAAGGGTATGTGATTAAGCTTCTCTCTGGAGGCCTCCTTTCCTTGCTCATTTATCTCTGTTCAGTAACTTAAATGTTTATAGAAGACACCCATTAATACACCATGTGTGGTGCCAAGGACAGGCATAGTAGTTTGCTCTGTGCACATTTGTGTCTGTAGGAAAAGAGCTTAGTGGAGATGACTTCATCTGACTTACCATCTTCTACTTTATCAGTTTCACCTCCAGGGCTACTGAACAAGGGCTTGTCCAGGTGCATTTTAACAAAGCCATTTCTTCAGAAATGAGAGCAGAGATCATGACAATAGACAGAGCACTTAGGGTGTTGGTTGCATCCATTTCAAATATACAGATAGTGTGAAATGTCTACTCTATGAATTTTGGGGGCTATTTTGGTAAAATGCATGAGGCGTAGGTTATATGCTGAGAAGTACTTGCTCCTTATAGTACTTTACAAGTGATCACTTTACAAGTGGTCATTTATAAGTGGAGAGACCCCTTTTGCTTATACCAGCGTGTGCATGTGCAAACATAAACATGCAGGCAGTCACATGTCACTGAGGCTATCAAAAACAGACAAGACAAACTTCATCACTTCTTTAACTCTCTAGAGTATAAAGTTGGGGTTCATTTTAATGATGTCATGATGCTATGATTAATTTAATAGTATGTAGTGGGTGGTCATCTCTCCATATTATAAAAGTGACTCCTTTATAACTCTTACCTCACGATGAGAAAATATTTATTTCATTTTACTTAAGTGACTGACCACGGGCTGTGAGGGTTGATAAGGATCTGAGTTGAGGTGGACCTGGCTTTGGCTGGTAAGGCTGAAGTGTCATTCTAGAAGGGAAAATAGAATTCTCTCAACCTTATTTTGTAGTCCCCACTTTTTAGAGGAACTGAATATCTAACCTTGCATTGTTGTACATTTCCTTTTATTAGTGAGGTGCTTTAGGCAGCTTTTTGACCAACCCGGATAGGAAGTCAGCTGCTCTCAGTGAGGCTGCTGGGCCACAGGACAAATGGAAGTCCACACACACGTAGTATGTCAAAATCATACATCAAAGCAACAAATGATTAAATAAAATATATTCCACCCTCTTATCTTGAAAAATATATCTTTGAAACTACCTGTAAGTCAGGTTCAAATTTGGAATTTTTGGATTCCTCAGAGTTCTGCGTTGGGAAATGCTAGCACAGAGAGAGCCGGCCCCTCAGGTCCTCAGTCTGTGTCCTGTCCCCTCCTCTTTCCACCTTTGGCTCCATTCTGTCTCACAAAGGGGTCTGGTGTAAATGCATGTGGATGCTCTAGCCTACGAGGCCAAGTTCTCTCCAAAGCCTTGCAAAAAGTTACCTGTTGCTAATCCTCAGACTGTGAGGTATACATATTGACAGCATGATTTTTTTTTTCAGAAAATAGATCCAGGGGAGAAGCTTGCACAAGCTCTGGAAACAGACTTGGGGCTCTTTGGGTAGGAGATTTCAAAGTCCTGGTGTCTGGAATATGGTCATGAGAGTATGTCTCTCATGGAATGTCACCTTGGCCTTATGGACTCCTACTCTTGTAGGGAGAGATGGTCTGACCAGGGCCACCTAAAACAGAGACCCCCCAGAGCAGAGGCTTCTTTGTGTCTAAGGGGAGTAATGCTGTCTTGTCAAGGCATATTACCGAATTTCATTCTGTTCATTTTCCTCATCTGCTTGATCACCTTCTCAGATAGAACCTCCTATTTACTAACCCAGTCGTGTTCCACTGGGCTTAGAACTCACCATGGAACCCAAAGTTAGCTGGGTTACTGACAGATCCCAATCAGAGCCAAATCTTTTGGGGCAATTGATTTTTTCATCAATAAATGTTACCTAGAGCTAAAACTCTTTGTCAGAACACATAATTATCCATTCTAAACCAGCTCTTCTATAAGCATTCAAAGGCCACTGTTGAAGCAAAAGCAAGGTAAACCTTATTTTACCATTTTGCCTGAAATTTCCCTTTAGGCTTGCTTCTGAGAAAATTTGAAGGAAAGACAGCTGGCTCTCCTATGCCATTGTGTTGGTCTTCTACCCTTCTATGGACATAGAGCTTCTCTGCAGTTTCCTTCTTTGCCTGTTTTCCGGGTGCTTAAATATGAGTCTCGTGGGAAGAGTTGGAGGAGGTGTAGAGTTGGTGTCAGCCCAGTGGTGTGGCAGTGCCCTGGGGTATGTTCTCCTTGATATTTGCAGAGATCTATCTGACTCATGCCAGACAAGTGTTGATTGACTGTTTCTCTCCTTTTTCTCCTGCAGCTCGAGAGGAGAATGTGGCCACTTTCCGAGGCTCAGAGTACCTGTGCTACGACCTGTCTCAGAACCCAATCCAGAGCAGCAGCGATGAAATCACCCTCTCCTTTAAGACCTGGCAGCGGAACGGGCTCATCCTGCACACGGGCAAGTCGGCTGACTACGTCAACCTGGCTCTGAAGGATGGCGCGGTCTCCTTGGTCATTAACCTGGGGTCCGGAGCCTTTGAGGCCATTGTGGAGCCAGTGAATGGAAAATTCAATGACAACGCCTGGCATGATGTCAAAGTGACACGCAACCTCCGGCAGGTAATGCTGAAGGGAGAGAGTACTCAGGGGCTCATCTTAGGTAGTCAGGGAGGAAGTTTGTGAAGCAGGTGATGGATGAGGTGGAGAGGGGTATAGATATGGGTTTGGATTTGTTGAAGTCTAACTTTCTCCCATTCTTTACAATTGCACAAGGAAAATTACTAAAATGTGCTTCTCTCTGTACTTCAATTCTCCATTTGTGCTTGTTATTTAAGAAAAAATTCAGTTGTGTAGATAATAAAAGTTATAAGCACTTTCATTCCTTTTTTCGGCATTCCTTTTAATCATTTTCTTAATTACACATTTGAATCTTGTCATGTTATTGTTAAATTCAATTAGAGACAGTGTTTTGTTTTTGCAGCTTAATAGGTTTTCCTCATTCTTTGAATATGTTTTTCCTTTTAATTAAGTTAGCCATTGCCATGATGCCATAATTTTAATTCCCTCTAGAAAAAGTCTTCCTTTTTCTCTTCCTTTTCATTTATAGCCCCTCACCCAATTTTACTTTTTCAGTTGTTATGCTAACCTCTAGCCTCAGAATGAATTAGCTGGAATCTTTCTGAATTCCTCTGTTTCTTTGTTCCTTGGTGCGGTGTTCCTACTTTATTGCCCATGCCTCTACCTCCAAGACTCTTCAGTTGATTGGGAGGCCTGGAAAGTGGAAGGATCCAAATAAAAATGTCAACTTTGGAGCAGCCTTTCCTGGTTCTGTCCGTGCTTGAGAACTCCCATCGCCTGCCGATTCTAAGTAGGCAACTCCGTCAGGTGACCACACGCTCAGAAAGCTTCAGCCCAATGAAGTTGTTTCAATTTCATAACTAACAATAATAGCAATAAGAATACCTAACCAGCTCACTTCAGTTAAAAAAAGCTTTTCCTATAAAAGTCAAAATCTGTGCTGAGACTGCCTTTTCCAGGTTGCTATTTTCACTTGGTTTTTCTTCTTGAGAATGTGTCATGGAACCCAGTTGGACAGCATTCATCCTTTATTAATCAGAAAACATGCAAATGTCTAGATAGTGCTTATTAAATTTTCTTCTGTGGTATGATTGATTTAATGCTTTTGAACATAAATATGAAGTCATAAGAACTGACAAGTATTTGTACGTGTTTTCTGATCGATAAAAGTGTAACTCCTTAATAATACTAAATAAATGGAGAAGGCTCACACATATGGGAAACACACAATAATGGAAACCCCCATTTCTATACTTAAGTTTGTCAAGAAAGCCACCTGATTGGGAGATTCTAATCTATCTGTGGTGAAGTTGCCAAATAACACAAAACTTAGACTCCTCCAGTCATCTTCATACATGTGGATTGAACATTTTTGAATCACTGTTCGGTGTTTTTCCCTCCAAGGCCAAAGAACCCTATTGCTGATATTTTTTTTTATCATCATCCCCCATCTATACTTACTCAGAAGAGACCTTCTCAACTGTTAAGAGAGCCCAAGTCAAATTTCCATTTGCTAACATATAGGAGCTTGATATAGTTGAGTTGTAGAGTCTAGACCAAGTGAAATATGACCTTTTGCCAGTTTTGACTGACAGGTACACAGTAACACCCTTTAGACATTCATCAGTGGAGGGGAGAATTTTCATGTACTGGGGAGCAGAACTGGGTTGTGGTTCTCTCCAGCCAAACTATTTCTCTAACTCTCTCCTGGCCCCTACACTTCCTTGCCATTCTAGAAATGATTCTAATTAGCTGGAGAAAGGCTTGCTTTTATTTCCACTGAAAACGCTTTTCTAAAATAGAATTGGGCCCCAGTTTGGTCCTCTAAACTGAAGGTGATAAACCAAACTGTAATTCCGATACTGGTTGTGCTGTTGAATCAGCAAGCAGAGGAAAGCAGCCCCTGAGGGTTTCTCTTCCAAGTTCTAGACCCAAGTCTTCTCTGTGCCCTTGGACAAGCCATTGAACCTTTCCACACCACTGTTCCCATTTGTGAAATGGTGATTACAGTCCTCCCCAGCCATATGCAGTGGCTAAATATGCAAAGTACTGTACCTTATGTCCCAGAAGGATTATGAGCTCATCCATGGTCTGGTGCTAGACTCGCTGTGACATGCACACTATTTACTGGCTGCCTATTTTGTCACTAAGGTGACTATGTCTGCCACCAAGGATGTAGAAAAGCAAAGCTCTCAGTTCTAGATGAGGCTACAGAAACGCCCTGGGGTATTGGGGCATTTCTTGACAGTGGGAGAATGAATTTTCTAGAGAAAGTATGCCCAAGGTTGGACCTCACTGAAGTCCTGGCTGAATTTTGCAATCCAGATACAATCTATTGAAAGAGGGAAATCTCAGAGGAGCAGAGTTGATTTATAAATGCAATCCTTTCAACACTGAATCATCTAATATTATTTTGCTCATTAAAAATACATTTAGAGCATACTTTTGTGTTCCTTAGGATATATTTGCAGGGGTGGGAAGCTCCTATTTCAATTAAACTGTAAACCACTTCATAAATATTTGATAACAAGCCTCTGGCCCTCTCATCTACTTTTTTGGTAAGGTCAAATGGCTTCTGTGGCAAAAATTCATTTGAGGAGCTCACTACCAGATGGAGCAGAACCTTCCCATTTCTTCCTTCTGGGTCATCTACTCATGGTTCTGCCTTTGAGCCAAGTCTGGGCAATGGCCAGCACTTTATTGGGGGTTCTCATAAAAGGAAGGAGTGGAGACTATCTGTTCCAAACCATAACTGAGATTAGGGACCAAGAAAGTAATGTATTTCTATGGGATGTATTTTTTTTGGTTTTGCTTTGCTTGGTCCATAACCTTGCCTGACTCTAAGGTCATGGCCATCACATGAATTTCTTTACCTCTGCATGTGACTTTTGTCAAACCACAAACATGAAACTGGGGTTACCAGTCTTCCAGCCTTCCAGCTTTCCAACCTCCCAGCTCAGGTGTGTTGACCATTTAGCATTCAAAAACAGCAAGGAGAAGACTAATTGTGGGGTCCCTGTTCTCATTTTAACCTGCCAGTCCTCTCTGCTAGCTATATTAAAAATTGCTTAAAATACTTAAAAGCTTGAAAGGCATTCTTAAAGAGGTATGGGGTGGGGTAGGGGAGGTAGGGAAGAGTGATTCCAACAGGAAGCATTTTGGCAAAGCAAAAAAAAAACACATACACACAAAACAAAACAAAAAAAAACTTCATTAGGTAATAGAGAAGACTCCAACTATTTTGATGCATTCTAACTACACAGTTATTCTACACTGAGAGGGGAAAAAAAAAGAAAAAGAAGAATGTTACCCTCCTGCTGCACAAACCCATACAAAATCATATCTTTACATTACCTGCGGAATCCCCGAGTAAGGTACATGATGTAGCCTTCCTATGTTAGATGTGGCTGGTAAATATTTTAAGTTATTTTTGTTCTAGGAAAAATTTGTCATTGTCTGTGCATGTAGTAAGAGTCAGATGTAAACAAACAAACAAAGAAAAACCAACGTATTGGTATTTCGGCTCTATCTATTTACCTACATGTGGAATGATAAACTTTGGGGGTCTTTTCTTTCAGGACAGGTGAAATATGTATTGCTAGAGGGTGGGAAGGAGAAGGGGGTGGTGTTCTTTCAGAAGAGCCCTTGGAAAGTAAGTATGATGCTTATTCTAACTGGGGTGAGGTCTGATCTGATCGTTATCTGGGAGAAGCGGGGAGTTAAAATGACAAGGTGGACTGCACCTCTTTTCCTGGCTGTGTCCTGGCTGCCAAGGTTTTCCATAGAGTCCTGGTCTCATTGTCTTCCCCACTCTCTTTTTCTGTGTTGGGTGCCTTTTTTTTGAAAAACTAACACAAGATCATTCATGCAATGTGTCATTTTACTAACCGACTAATGTACTAACACCCTAACGACTCATCTTTGTTTTTTAGTTTTTTTAATTAACAATCGTTCTGTTCACAATTTTTAATTTCCTTTCTTCCCCCTTTTCCGCAAAGCACTCAGGCATCGGACACGCTATGGTAAACAAACTACATTGTCTGGTAGATATCATTCTTATTGTCTCTTTTTTTGGGTTTGCCGTGTGTTGCCCCCCCTTTTCCTCCCCAACCCCTCTTTTATCCTCTTTAGACTTGTTTCTCCTTCTTTTAAAATTTTTGTTTAATTAAATGCCTATTTTTTCTTTTTCTTAAAAAAAATAAAAAGGAAGGGGATTCACTTGTCCTGCAGATATTTGGATGAGTTTGGTTGGAATGGTTTCCTTTTCTCCAGTTAGTTTTTTTTTTCTTTTTCAAAATCATTTTTTAAGGAAAGTTTCTCCATTTAGCTAAATTTGTTTTGTTTTGTTTTGTTTTGTTTTGTTTTGTTTTGTTTGTTCTCTTTTGCAATTTTGAAGTTACAGACTAGGGACCACAGGATTGATATTGAGGACTTTCCTAAACTCTAAGTCTTCCCTTCCTCACTCCTCCTTTCTTTAACTCTCCCCATTCCTTAATCCCTGCTTTCTTCCCCTTTTGTGTGGCCTTGGCCGCCATAGGTGACCTGGGGAGCATAGTACTCTGCTTCCTGTATTCTTCTTTTCCCTTCTTTCACCTTACTCCCCACCGTGGCCAAAGGGAGCTCCACCAATTGTGTTCTCTGTCCACACTCTGCATGGCATGTCCCTGTCTCGTGGATTTCCCCATTGGCATCTGATTTTGTTCCTTCATTTTACTCCCCATTACTAACAACCTACCAAATTTTCAACTCAAGTCCACTTTCTTCTCTCTTTCTTTTTTTGTCTCCACTCTTTTTAATTTTCCTCTCATCCTTCATATGTTTGGGGGTTGGGTTTGGACTTTTTCTTTTCTTTTTTTAGCGAGGGAGGTGGCAGGCAAGGGAAAGATAACCTGTTAGTTTTGAGTGTTGTTTTCCACATCCCATCTTGTTTTTCAGTTGTTGCAGTGCATGTAAGGATGATGTGAATTCTGATTCTTTTTTTTTTTAGTTTTCCTCACCCTCTCCCACTTCCCTCCTTTTTCTTCTGCCTTCTCTCTTAGCTCTAGATAATTTTTGCATGGGTGTGTCAGCGTATGGTGTGTGCACGCTCTGAGGCCCCATCTATACTCTCTGTCTTCTGCTCCTTTCATGGATGTTGGGTGTATGGGTGCTCCTTCTTCCCTGTGGGCATTATTATTATTGTTTTGGTTATTATGCATTATCATTCTTTTCTTTTTGTTAGAGTTGCCTCATTTCTTTTCTTGGTGGTGGTGATGGCAGTGAAGGGAGGGCAGGGGTTGGTGTCCTGGGGGAGTCCATGGCATGTACCATCCATGACACATGTGAATCAAGACCCTTCTTCTTCCCTATCTGAATGCATGTTTGTCAGTGTGGTGTGAATCCAAAAAGAAACAAAAGAGAAAAGAAAAAAGAAAAGAAAAAAGGAAAAAATCCATCAACCACCAAAGACCAACCCCTAACAAACCCATCGTCAAATGTCTCCTTTGCTGTTTTTCACTACCGCCATAATTAACAATCATCGAAAAATGATCATTTTACCAATGAACTGAGACAAGTGATGTCGTCTGAGGACAGTTCCATTTTCTAGCCTGACTGAGTAAAGAGTGCAACACGTAGAGCAAGTTGCTCAGCTTGGCCGTTCCAGCAAACTCTGCTAGAAGTCTGCAGGGGAATGCTGCACTTGTGGGCCATAGGAAGGCAGACCAGAAAATGGAACTTGGCTGCACATACCAAAATCAAACCAAATTAGAAAGAATACCTCACCAAAATCTTAAATGAAAGTGAAGCTACAGGTGGTGAAAGCCACTGGATTTTAATAGGACTGTAAGGTCATTACTGGGATTTTTTTGTCCCTATGTCCCTTTACCAGGTGACAATCTCTGTGGATGGCATCCTGACTACGACAGGCTACACTCAAGAGGACTACACCATGCTGGGCTCAGATGACTTCTTCTACGTGGGAGGAAGCCCCAGTACTGCTGACTTGCCAGGTTCACCTGTCAGCAACAACTTCATGGGCTGCCTTAAAGAGGTAAAGTTCACATACTCCATTTAGTGCTTTGTCTAAGAACAAATGAGTTTTGCACTTCAGTGACTGGCTCTATCATCTAATCTATTCTATGAGACCCAGGTAGTAGCAGAAAAGAGTTTGGACTTGAAGTAGAGTCCTAGGTTTTGGTCAGAGCTTAAGCTGGTTACATGACCTTGGGTTTACCACTGAAGTGCACTGTTCCCTCACTAATGGGGAATCTCATTTCTCAGGTGGCTTTACTTTATAAATTAAAATAACACATATGAAAATACTTTGAAATCATAAGGAACTATTAAAGTTAGATTTTGTACTTTTGATTTGGCACATATGGAGAGCTCTGGCTAAAAGTGGCTCCTTTTGTGGTTGTGTGTCTTGTCTAAAACATATTTATTATTTTACTTTGTCCAAGCTTGGTGTTCCCAAGAGTCTCATTATTTGAGATAAAGGAAAATTCTCAGAATGTAACATTAAAGCCCAGAAGATGGCTTTTCCTTTTTTTTTTTTTTACCCCCTGAAAGCTGGCAGCTATGAGAAAGCAGTGGGCTTTGCCATTATTCATTTATACTATTGTAGCTGATGTGTTGGGACCTCTTTCTGAGAGCAAAGGAGCTTCAGTCAAGTGTAACTTCAATCACTAAGGTCAATTGTCAAGGCAAAAAAGAATCAGACTTGATTTGGTAGAATTCTTTCAGGACACTGTGTCATCAGAGCAGTATGCTGTACATTTTTGTTTAATCTAAGCTAAGCTTTATTGCCTAAGATATCCATACCATTTCCCTGGGGAAACTTTTAAGAAGCTAACAGTGTTCCTTCTTGTAGATAGAGATCCCTATGACATGTTATAAGCCTCCTCTCAGGATACATGTTTTATTTGTTTTATATGAAATTTGTTAAACCTCACTTATACATGAAATGGTATTGCACCTGTGTTTGTTCACACCACTCAACTGTGAGTCATGTCCAGACAGGAGTTGTGCCTGTCACAACTGGTATATGATAGGCACATAATAAGTATTTATTGAATGAATAAATTTATCAGATAATCATTGGGTACCTTTTCTGTGCTGTAACTAAACTTAGTGTCTCTTCACAAGCCATGATCTCTGTAGTTGAAGGCTTTATAATCAAGCAAGGGAGGAGATCAGAAAGTGGACAGTTACAGTTGAAAACAGTGTATGTTCAGTGCCACAGATGAAATTTCTAACTGGGTAGAGGAAAGTGGTAAGTTTTAGGTGGGAATCAGTGTTGGAGAAAAATTGGTGTCTGAGCTGGGCATTGCTGCCATAAATGATGTGTGGCTTGAGAGGAAGGGGTAGGAAGAAGAGACAGGACAAAGGAGGGAAAAAATTCAATTACAGCTTTGTATTGTTCTTGGTCTGAAGGACAAATTACAGATGAGAGCCCAAAGAGTGCTTTCCTCTCTTTGCTAGACATCACCTAGGCTTCTGCAGACCACAGGGACTCTACTGGCCATTCTTGATGGAATTGCTGCAGACAGAACACTTCTTCCATGGGATTTACTCCCATTTGGGTAGAATAAAGGCCTAAACTACTCAGTATCTAATGAACCCTGAAAGGCTCTTAAACACTGTGAAATCACGCTATACTGGAATTGCTCTCTCAGAAATAGATAGGAACATTCTGTTACCACGTATGTGGCTCAGGAATGAATTAGCCATTGATTGCAGTAGAGAACTCACCCATTTTTGTAGACAAACAGTCCTGAGCAGGAGTTTTTCCTGGACAGGATCTAGGGGTGGCCTCTAGGACCAATCTTTTTCTGATTATATTATGTATTTTGAAACAAAAGAGCAATTTCCCAAATCTGTCAATCAGGAAGGTTGCTCTTGAACATTTTGAAGCAAGACTTATCAAAATGTGAAGGTATCTCTAATAACTTTATGCATGCAGAACCTAAAATAGATAAAATAAATTTGCTCTCTCTCACCGCCTAGGTAGAGAGCAGACAGCTTCAAAAGTCACTTCATAGCTTAAAAATTAAAGACAGTTCTGAAAAAGTGCCATTAGCAGTAATTAGTAATAAAAACAAACATACCTTAGCTAGCAAGGTAAATCTGCATTTAAATCCAGATCAAGTCAAAGAAAAGAAGGTCTAAGACATGAAGGGAAATGGTGGGCTCAATGAGAACTTTGTTAAATTTTGTTCCTTCTCTCCTTTACATATTGCATAGTCCAGTCTTTCTAAGGGACTTGGGAGGCTTTCTTATTTGTCTCAGTGGTTTAAATAGATACCTTTGTGCGTAATGTAGTTCTGGACATTCTTTCCACTTAATCATTACAGTTCACTTTTCTGTGGGCAGGGCTGGGAAATTCTTTTGTTCTTGCTGTTTCTCTTGGATAATTTAGTAAACAGCCAACACTTCTAATTACCTTGGGATTTTCTCCCACTTACCCATGTTAACTATTTGCCTTTGGAACAGTCTCCAGTTACTTTAGTTTCTTCTTCCTTTCCCTATCTCTGTCTTCTTTTTCTGTCGTCTGCTGCCATTTGTAGCTCTAGGTTGCCTTAAGCTGAGCTAGGTGCTTTTGTATGCCATTTTCTTCAAAATGGGGACATTGTAAAGGGACTTTGAAGTTCTGGGGCACCTACACTTTGCGTGTGGCACAGAATCCGTTTTATCTTTGGCACTACAGTTTCTTCACATCTGAAAGCTTAGTTCTGGCTCCACTGTGATTTCACCTGTATGCACACCTCTAAACTTGACACTCATGTAAAAGCCACACCAAAGAGTGTCCAAGTTGTCATCAAACTATTGTGGTACTCCACACACCCTGGTATCAGTGTAAGTAAGATTTGTGTCCAGTTAGACATCACAAAGTCAGGATCTTATTCTTCTTCACGTTTTCGCAGGTCTGTCTGTTTTTTGTTTTGTGTTCCCAACTCCTAGAATGGCTCTTGGCCTGGTGGGCTTTCCATAAATACAGCAGTGGGCCAAAGGAGGTTAATAATAATAACAACAAATAATACAGTAGTTAATAAATAATAATGCAAGAATAAACTCTGTTTTGTATACTCACAATTGTCGACCTGCTTTTTTCTGTGTGCAGTACAGTTAAAATTTAAAACACACCCTGACCCTGCTTTTCAAGTCCAAACCGTTGTGTTGTACTTGGGTGAAGGACTTCTTCCCCTTCCTCCTCTGCTCATGCAAATACTCCCCCGCACAGAGATCGACTCTCTCTCACACCCCAAGGTAATGAGTGAGTGATGATTAGTTCCTTGTATGGAAAATTCTTCAGGCGAGAAGGAGGTAGGCAGCAAGAGGAATTAAAAAAAGACCAAACGTTGTATATGACTTTCTGTACTTGCCAAGTGAAATCCCAGGTTTGTAAATTCATAAATGCAATAGCTTTTCAATAAATGCTCTTAGGTAGTTTCTTAGGATCGCTAAAAAACATCCTGACATGGCAATAATTGAATCTTTAGGAACCCCTCCCCCTGCCCGCCATCTGATATGAGAAAAGTATTACATAAAAAGGCTCAGCAAGGCTAAGAGAAATGGGTTAGAACTTCCTCTAGGAAGAACAAGATCAAAAAGGCTTTGAGGGAGGTGTCATAATATAATAAAAAGAATACTGGGTTTAAGATTAGAAAACCTGATTGGACATACCAGATTTAACACTGGTTCTATGGTCTAGATTAAGCCACTGATCTTATTTGAGTCTCAGTTTCCTAACCCATTATGTGGAGGTAATATGACTTCTGTTATGTTCTTCTTAAGATCAAGTGAAATAATGTACATAAAAGTGAAACCATACAATGGTGTTTTTCTATGATTATTACTAAAGATTCTATAATGCATCTTACAAAACAGTTTATGAAATATGTATTTACACATGCATAGCTCCATATTTTCCATATCATTGAATGACTGCTTATGGGAAGAAAATAAACCTTTATTGTAAGGTTTGCCCTACTAAAATTCTCTCATCTTTGCTGATGTAGGGCTAACTCATCCCACCCACCCTCAATCATTACCTAGTTTGTTGCCTCTGTCATTTGTTTATTAGACAACTGTCAATCTCCTTACTGTTAAAATGTGAGCTCCATGAGGACAAAATCCTCCTCTGTTTACAAGTGTTTCCTCAGCACCTAGAAGAGTCCCTGGCATAAAATAATGCCCTCAGTAATTAGGTCTAGAATAAATGAGTGAATGGGCTAACCTGATGGAGCTCTAAAATCTGGTGGAATTTAGACAAGCAGACATGGACTGAAAACCTGCAGTGGGCCGAGGGCTATGCTGAGACATAGAGAGGAATCAGGCATGTTTCCTGCCTTAAAGGACCTCACAGTTAGTGGGGAGGACAGACGCCCAAATATGATTCAATAAAGCAGTTAATGTACCAAAAGAGGCATTGTCAGGTGCAATGGGGCTGCCAAGCAGTGGGTCTTAACATATCCTGCGGTTCAGGAACACTCTGTAGAGAAGCCAGTGCCTAAGGTGAGGCTTAAAGGTGGACAGCAGTGCACAGGGAAGACTGGAGGGAGTGGTGCCTCAGGACAAGGGGGCAGCTTGAGCAAAGGCCTGGAGATGGGACACATCATGGTGTCTGGGTGAGAAACGCACAGTTTGTTGATTTCAGGACACAGAATGGAATTCTAAAAACATGGCTATAAAGTAAGGAGGGGCCAAGACACAGAAAGCTTTATTTTACTCTATACCCTTGAACTTTATTTTCTAGGTAATGGGGAGCCATTAGGGGATTTTTTTATTATTGTTATTCTGTTACAGTTGTCCCAGTTTTTCCGCCTTTGTCCTCCTCCATCCAGCCCACCCCCTGCTCCCACAATCCTCTCACCATTGTTCATGTCCATGGGCCATTCATACATGTTCTTTGATCCCTTCCCTTTCTTTCCACCATTATGCCCTTCCCCCTTCCCCTCTGACAGCTGTCAAGACAAATACCATATGATCTCACTTATAAGAGGAATCTAATGAATAAAATAATCTAATGAGCAAAATAGAAGCAGAGACATG